CATGTTTTTCCAAAAAAAGTTATGAAACAATCCACTGGAATTTGTTTCCAAGTTTGAAGACATTTCGCTTCCCATCCAGGACATTTTCAATTCAAAATGTCCGAAATAGCATTGACTTAGAGGCGGGTCCACCCCTTTGGAATGGGACCAGTCCGAGCAGCGCCATCTCACTGCGGGGCTGAGTCTGACATAGTTTTTAGATGTACAGTGTGAGCAGGTAGATCGCATCGGAGCGTCGGGCCGCACAGCGTGAGAACATACTTTGTGAGCTTTGAACATTTAAACGCTGCGGTTTCATCGTACAGTGTGAGCTGTAGCTGGATACAATGTTTGAAAAATTATGCCCGGCTTTACTCTCTCTTAGCATCCCATATATATCTTTACTGAGGGTCTGATCCCATATGAGTTAATGACTCTCTTTCCATAGTTATCTGGAGCATTTCCATTCTGCAGAGTTACTTTGCTGCTTATTTTAACTCGCAGTTGTTTTTGTACTTGCAGCATTTTTCCTTTTTATGAGCATTGTGTGTTAGCATTGTTTATGTGTTAAGAGCAGGCTTTTTTTTTTGCTTGTATTTTTTGTGTTTTCTTGTCAAATTTTCTTGAGTTTGTTGCTAAAACTTTATTTGCACCCCTTGCCCACTGTAGACTCAGCTTGAAATATTTTTTCAAAGCCTCTCTTGAAATCACATATAATGTTTGCTATTGTTATGTAAACACCTACAGTAACATGAAACTTAAAGATGCAAATATTTGTGTGTGTGATATGTTTTAGCAGGACAAGCCAGAGTCATTACTATTATTAGTAACACAGATACTTTTCTTGTGATGACAAGCTGATACTTGTTACAAAAATGTAAAAGGAAGCTTAAAAATATGCTCTCTTCTCTTCCGCTTTGAGTTTGAACCTACATCTAGTCTGATCACACCTGTAGGATGGCGTGGTCCTGTAGCGCATTGCCTGTTTCTGCATGTCTAGGAGGCAAAATTACCCTCTTAACAAAAGCTTTAAAATCATGTCAGAGCGTCTTTAAAATATGTCATACAATATCTTGTTCTTTTGCCTCGCATATGCTAGGTATTTATTGTATTGCATTCTCCTAATTGTATATGTGCCTCTATTTCTGAACTAGGATATGTTTTGTTGCATTACTGATCATTATAGAATTATATATATATATATATATATACACACACAAGATATGCCACTGCCTGAACATTGTAGCTACCACCATCGACTAAAGTTGACGTTTCTTGTTTATTTTTTCTCCACTTAGGTACAATGGTATAACTTTCTTGAGAGAAAGTAATTTCTTGAGGCTTGAGAAGTTGCAGCTGCTGATGCTGCACAGCAATACAATATACAGCATTGAGGACAAGGTCTTCAAAGACCTCAGGTCTTTAAAGGTAAATGTTTCACAGAATACAATCATATGTCGTTCAAAAAGATCAAAATAATGTTTTGTCTTGACAAGAAATCATCTGTTTTTCATTATTTCATTATTTCATTTCATTTCATTTTGTGATATGCCCTGTGATAAAAAATGAATAGGACAGAATGGAAATATTTAATTTATTTGGAGCAGGATGACATTGGTGAATTACATTAAACAAAGAGAATAAAAGGAGTATAATTCTTACCACATCAAAAAGAATCAGAAATAGCATTTCTCTTTTCAGTTTCTGTGAGACAGCATGGTAACAAACTTTGATCACTCTGTTTCTAAGCAATAGCATAACTGTGTGACATTTCAAGCAAAACTTTTTCGTTCAGGCTTTTTTTTTATCTTAATGTATTATCTCTCTTACAAATTGTGCAGTTTATTAGACTAGATAAACTACTGTGTTTTTTCCTGAAACTGCATTTATATTTGTTGAAATCCTATTTATGAATAACATTTTATATATATATATATATATATATATATATATATATATATATATATATATATATATATATATATATATATATATATATATATATATATATATATATATGTTTGTTGCAGGTCCTGAAGATGTCACATAATAAAATACGGAAAATTGATAAAGAAACTTTTAAAGGGCTGAACGGTCTACTGAGACTCCACATAGACCACAACCAAATTGAATTTATCAACCCGGAAGCTTTCTATGGCCTGACTAACTTGCAGCTGGTCCAGCTGGAGGGCAACCAACTCCAGCAGCTCCATGCAGACACATTCATCACTCTGAGACATAGCCGGGTTTTCAAAGTGTCCTCATTGAGAACCATTAACTTGTCAGACAATCTTTTGAGTGCTCTGCCTGCTGAAATTTTCCAAGGCTGCAGTCAGTTGGAGAAACTATTCCTACACGGGAACCCCTGGAGATGTGACTGTCAGATGAAGTGGTTCTCAGCATGGACACATAAAAATACCGGTAAGTGTTTGGCTGAAAAAGTAATGAAAAGGTGTTGGAACTACTGTACAGTTCAGCTTGTATGCTGTTAAAGGGAATTAATTATTTTTCACTTGTTCATTGCAATTGTGTTTGAATTTATACCTCATAATAGTTATGTTTATATCTATGTCATGATACTGAACACATTAAAAACAGTAGAAAATAAGATAAAAACAAAGCAAGCTAAATTGAACCCTGGACACAGTAGTAACTTGATGAAGACCCATGATGTGGATGATGAAATCAGGTATCATTAAATTACACAATGTCCACAAATTGCTTTCAGCTTCACCTTATTAACCAAAGAACTAATCAGTGTTGATAACACGATATTGACACTTTCTAATATTTTTTGTAGACCAAAACGTTAATACCGATGATCAATGTAATAATTTCATGGGCACCAACATGAAATAGTTTTTATCTCTGCTATTCAGAGGACTGTATGTTTGCTTAAGTTACCCAAAGATCCTGAGCGGCTTTCATATTGGGTGAAGCAGGTCAGACTAGATCAGGAAAGGTCCGAGCAATAGTAAAAATAAAGTTAAATTTATTATAAAGTTTGACAGGAGGGATATTTTTGTTCTAATAAACTGAACTATTGTCATCTCAGAGGCATGTTTGTGTGCTACCAACCATTACTAGCCATGGCCTAGTCTGTGTTTGTCCTTTCTATGATCTCAGCAACTTACTGCATTGTTTTTACGTTTTTTATGTTTGTGAGAATCTTTCGATTGGCCTGACTTTCAGCCTGATCGTGCGTCGTGATTCGTGTAGTGTACAGTGGGTTATGAGGGGCAATCAGCCTCTCACGACCACCATGTTCACCAACATGTTCGATTTTCTCCTAACCGTCATGGGCGAATCGCTCAGTGCCCTTGCACAAACAAGGATTCTTCTGTAAACACAGCAGCATGGCGGGGATGCAATGAGTGAACTGCAGTTCTGTCTGTAAAATTGACAGACCGTAGTAGCTACGTTTGCTCAGCCATGTCGCCTTTTCTTTTTAGGGCTTTCAGCACAAAATTGCATAAATTGCCAAGGCAGCGCGTTTCACTCTAGTGAGCTTAATATTCCCCTTCTATTTGATTGGCTTCCGGATAGACGAGTCAGAGCAGCTCCATCTGACTGTGGATAGACGAGTCAGAGCAGCTCCATCTGACTGCGGGGCCGAGTCCGACGTGCTTTTTAGTCGTACAGTACAGTATGAGCAGGTATATCGCATAAGGGCGTTGTGCTGCACATACATCGTGAGCTGTGAACTCACACTGTACGACTAAACCACAAGGTTTAGTCGTACAGTGTGAGTAGTGTTAGCAGTAGCTGCGTGCAACGACTGAAAAAAACGCACAGTGTACACTCGGCTTTAGCAGATCTAATTAGAAATGACATTTCTAATTAGAAAATATTCTAATTAGAAATGTCTTCCTATTGTTCATGAAAGTCAATTTATCTTTGAAGAGGCATAGGCAATTATAGCCATGATGCTGCAGTAAAATATGTCCAAAGTCCAAAGATTTATTTGTGGTAGAAAAGTCAGTTTCAAAAGTCAAAATTCCTTGTTCGCTTTGAAAAGCAATGAACAAGACTGATTTAATATATTCCATACTTTACAAAAATTTAAAGTATGGAATATTGGCCCTACTGTGGCTTTACCTTTCTCATACCTCATCAAAAATAGTTATTTTATCCTGAGCTATTTTCTATATTAAACTGCTATACGTTTAGGCTGCTGGAGGACATAAAAAACAACTTTCTAATTTTGCTTTATTCCATCTTTATTCTTCCAAGTTTGTCTAGTAATGTTCTCAGGTTTTACTGTTTTATAGCTTCTTTCAAAAAGAGTAGGAAATAAGTAGTTTGTCAATTATATATATTTTTTAAACTAAAAAAAAAATAGTTCACTGTACCCAGCTAGAGAGAAACAAAAGAAATGTTTATTAAGGGCTTGGCTTTTGTTAAATTGAATAAATTATGTAGCATAATGATAATGTTCTCTAGTTCAAGCTTTCATGTCCAGTTCTAATTTCGCAGTATGTAAACTGTAAATGTATGTTCCTCAATACTAAATACTACCCCTTTTGGTAATAATTTGCAGGTGTGCTGAAGTGTAACCAAGACAGGCGAGGCCACCTGTGTCCTGTTTGTGAAACTCCTGCCTCTCAACTTCGCAAACCTCTAACCATTCTCAGTTATGATGCCTATACATGTACCAAACCCTGGATTAAATCATATCTCAAGCAGAAAAATATAAACCTGGAGGAAGGGGACTTTATTCCAGTTTACCCCAAGGACTTTATTGCCCCATTGGGAACCATACAGATGAACCTGACTGACCAGTTTTACAGACAAGCCAGCCTAACGTGTACTGTGCAGACACCTACTGCTTTAGAAAACCTAACACAAAATGTAACACGGAACAAGGAAAATAATATGGTAGAGCTTAGTACACTTATCACAACATATTTGGTGTGTAACATTGACCATGAACACATCCAACAGCTTTGGCAGATCGTGGCCACTTACAGTGACTCTCCTATGAGGCTCAAGAGAGATGTAATGCTGAAAAATCCTGAAATAGTCTACAGATACAGTCAAGAAAATGGCGGAGAGGAAGAAATCACAACAAATATTAAAGCTATTATCAAGGCAACTCCCTCATGGTTAATGCAGCAAGAATTGAGCTTCCAGCTTGACCGCACCACAACCACATTTTCAACTTTGCATATTAAGTACCAGTCTGTAGTCAGTTTACATTTTGAAGCTTTGCCCTCAAAAAAAGATCATTATTCCTGGACGATGATCAAAAGAGACAATCAAACCAAGACTGAGCAAACGGTGATAACAGGTAGGAGTCAGTGGATATATTTTTTAAATCCATGCAATACAAATCAAAAGTGCTTGAGTTAAACAATCTGGTCAGAGATAAAGAATATCCAAATTTTATTATTTTGAATAAAATGCTTTACTTACCTTAGGTGGTGTGGTAAAGTTGAGCTGTCAAATCCAAGGTGAACCAAAGCCTTTGATGGAGTGGATTTTACCAGATGGAAGTAAGGTCCGAGCACCTTTTTACAGTGAGGACAGAAGAATAATAATCTCCTCTGATGGTGTGCTAACTCTTCGCGGTGCTGATTCCTCTGACACCGGCCTCTATCGATGCATTGCCACAAACTACATGGATGCAGATGTTCTTACATTTCGGGTAACTGTTCTTTCTCTTGACGTTGAGGAGTCTGAGATAAATGGTCTTCGGCTCTCAAAGTCAGTTGATGAAAATCTTTTATTTGACTGTAGCTCCTCTGGGAGTCCAGCGGGTTCAGTTTCATGGATTCTTCCTGACCACTCAGTACTGGAGAAGTCCCAAGCAAATAAAATTGTGTACCCAAATGGTACATTGCTAATCCAAGGCCTTACACCCAGGGATCGAGGCTTTTATAGGTGCCTGGTGGCTAATCACTTAGGAATCGACTTACTTGTGTCTCAGGTGACATTTTCTGAGGAAAGGTTTGAAGCTGTGACATTATCGAAAAGTGAGGGATCAGGAATTGTAATGGACACCAAGATGCATTCCTACTTGAATGGTCATTTAGTCAACCTTGTTGGGAACACATCTGCAGAAAAAACAACTCAGGAATTAAGGATTACTGCCTCGGATCATCCCAACCATAGACTAGCGTTACAGGGAAGGAGAAAATCTCAAGTTCGAATGGGACAAAGGAGGAGGGGAGCAGTTTCCAACAGAAATATCTGGAGTAGTAGGTTTAGTAGTAATGCTTCCAGGAAGGTAGACCCAGAGAAATTTGCTGAATTCATGAAAAAAGCTCACAGTGCATCAACGTTAAATAATGTTGATGGTAAAAATGAAATTCCACACATTGGTCTTTATACTGAGGAGGATGTTGGTTCTGGTGCAGGCTATGAAGAGGAGAATATTGTTGTTGCCACACATAAAGTCAAACCGAACACAGAAACTATGAAAGCATATAAGGTGTTAGATTCCACACAAATACCGCCTACATCCACAAAGTTACCAATTCAATTTGAGATGACAGGGCTACACCCAACAGAAAGAACCAGTTGGCCATCTCCAGAGCTTGACCCTAATTATCTTCAACTTAGCATGATTGATAATAAAGAAGGAACTCAGATGAGGATTTTAGAAGAACAAACTGCACAGACCCAAACATCCACAGAGAAAGCCCTCCCATGGACTGCAGACCCCAAAATTACTCCATTAACAGATAATCCAGACCCAGTGGAGCTTAACCTTCCCACAGATTCAGAAAGCCAGGTCATATTTACAGCAATTACTACAGCTGAGAGGGAGAATTACACTTTCACCCTCCAGACCACCCAGTCAATAAATTCCCCACAGCTGCCTGTGGGCTCCACAATTATCGCCCAGCAACGGATCCAGATTATTCCACACAAAAGACACAAAGGAAAAGGTGGCAGAAGGACCCTTCATGGTCGGAGAAGGTTAATTAAACCCAACAGGATCACTGACGTACAGTCTTTTATCAATCGCCTTAAACAGTCGGCTCGGAAGAATGATGCAACCACCACAGGTAAGACAGCTCCTCTATGTCAGCAGTTTTTTGTGTAACATTAACACTTTCAAGGGTTTCTTTTGCAGCCTGTTAAAGTAATAAAAATGTATACAATTTACTTGGTGATTTTGAAGATATGAGTAAGAATGAAAAATGATATTCAATGCAAAGACCTGCATTACTGGCCATGGAAACTACACTGGACTACTATGGAGGACATACTCTGACATAATGAAAAATGAATAGAGAAAAACCTCTGTGTCCATGTGTGCAACTAATTATAACACATGATCTCTCAGGGTACCCAAATATCAAATAGAGTCAGAAATTATAGCACTGCTCCAAATTAAGTTGTTAAATCAAGGCCTCATGAAAGAAGGCCTTTTTTTGTGACAATACTATCATGTACAGTGGATTCTATGCAGTCTAGTTGACCAATAGCCAATATTTGGCCCTTCAAGACCCCCCTCCCCCACAAACACACGCACACACATGCAGTCTTCATACGGACGCAAAAATATATACAGAAACATAAAGGAACAGGCAAAAATAAAATTTTTTGAATGAAATTAGTTAAAATGTTAAAAGGATAAAGAAAGACAGAAAAAATCAAGTGAATTTACCTGTAATAAAGCAAGACAGAGGGACCCATTATTCACGGTGAGACAGACAGTGGGAGAATTCAAAGCATTTATTTAAAACCGTAAACGGGCTGTCGATCCAGGATATCGAGGCTAGGGCAGGACACCGCCCATCACTTGAAACTCTGGGTGGAGAAAAAAACAATAATCTGACGGAGGTGACATGATTATCCATGTAATTCACTTACCCAGTGATGGGACTAACGCCGTTACCTTGTTTTAGTAACGAGTAATCTAACTAATTACTTTGACTGTAACTATAACGCCGTTACCATTGCAGACTCGCCGTTACTGCGCGTTACTCAGGTCGCACAATTAACCTTTTTTCATGATAGGACTCGTGCGCAGCTGCGTGAAGCTGACACCCCACCCACATCAGAAAACTCTGCAAATAGACTGAATGGTTAGTGCAACGTTAGTGCAGATTTGTGCAGAAAAAAATATTGTTTGTGCTACTTTTGTTTAAGAGATATTAAAGATGATTTTTTTAGGTCATCCAGAGGTGCGCGCCTTGTCATGAGAAAGGGGAGGATGAGAATGGCTGATGTATAGTGAGATTCCGTCTGTCAGTTGGGTAGGTGGGTGTTTCTGCTGGCGGGTGTTAACGTACAGCACACACAGAGAGATGGAAAGTGAGGATGACTCCAGCAGCAAAACAGCATTTTCCTGATGGAAATACCGGTGTTACGTCGAGCTGCGTTTCCCCATCAGATACGGTTTCCTCTGCATCTTCGCACAGCGCAGGCGGCACGAGTCACCGCGCAAGCGACAGGAAATGCGCATGCTCGCTAAAGGCGCGCAACAGTCGCCCTGTGCTCGCGCCACAGGAGAACTATGGAGAGCGTGAACGATCAAATGAAAGGGAGAAATCTGGATGGATGGACCGATGGATGGATGGATGGATGGATGGATGGATGGATGGATGGACGGACGGACGGACGGACGGACGGATGGACGGACGGATGGATACTCTGCCTTTTCAACCTACTGTATTTTTTATTTTAAACATTATTTGATGGCCTTTGTGGCAGGGATGGAGATCCATATTTTATGTCACACACAGAGTATAGATCTAGATAGATAGATGGATAGATAGATGTTGCAGTATCTATAACAACCCAAACACACAGGATTTCAGAATTAGACATCCCCAGTTATTAATTACACCAGATCTGAATGCCCTGTTAAAGAACTTCACATGGCGTTCCCCCCTGATGTCATCTACGTTGAGTTGCAATAAATGCAAAACTCTCTGCAGGTTCTTGTATTTGTCGTCCACTCTATTCAGCTGGCTTTGGAAACACATGGCGAGAAGGTGGGGGCCGGGTGGTGAGGGTTACGGGGGCGAGAAACGCAAAAGTAACGCAATAGTTTCTTTTACTAGTAACTAGTTACTTTTATTGTGGAGTAACTCAGTTAGTAACTCAGTTACTTTTTGGGAGAAGTAACTAGTAACTATAAGTAATTACTTTTTCATAGTAACGTGCCCAACACTGCACTTACCTGGTTTAACAGTTATGTCCATCTCCATAGAACACAGTAGGATCCAGCCAGAGGGCTGCCAACTAGATGTGGTGGGCACCACCAAGAGTGTCCCTGATGCTGCAGTTCCAGAGAACAGGTCAGGGAAACGGATCAGCACAGGAAGGCTCAGAGGTCCAAGAGTCTGAAGCCAAGTTAGGGATAATGATCAGAACAGGAACAAGCTGGTTCATGGATCCAGGAGTCCACAGACAGATTAGGCAGAACGTTCAGATGGGAACAGGCAGGCTCATTGGTTGAGAGGCAGAACAGGTCAAAATATCAGGAACAATACAGAGCTCTAAAAACTACTCTCTCCTTTGAGACCAAACAAGAACAGACCCACTCAATGGATGAGAGACAGATCAGGATCAGGAAATCAGAAAAAAAATGAAACGCTAAAAAACCCTGTTTCCACTGGCTCCCTAAAAATGAGAACAAGAACAACAATCTGGCTACAATTGTTGGGACAGAGCTGTCTAAATAGAAGCAGCAGCAAGTGGATGAAATGAGCAGTATTGAAAAACAGGGCAGAGTTAGACAGGTGAATAATACATTACCAATTGCCAAAAAATTTAAACATACACATTTAAAAATAAATTTAGAGATAGGTAATTCAAAAATAAGTTTGAAAATTATAACAAACATAAATTATTTAAATTTATATTTTGATGTATATTTCAATTACTTCATACATTTATTTAGTTGCTGTATTTTTTTCTGGTATTTATCTGTATGGCTATTTATCTATTGAAAATCTATTTCTGTATTTATCTTTAATCATGTCAGAGTTTGTTCTGCTTAAACTACAAGCAACATGGTTTGTGTTTCTCTTCAATATTCCTCAACATTCTAAGACAAATATCTAAGATAAATGTAGACCAAGGGAGCAACAGATCTGTTCTTTTTCCCTTAGCCAAGGCAAGATGGTTGTCACCCATGTGTAGAATTCGTCTGTACATAGCTCTGGAATTGTTGCCACCAGTCCTAGTCCACTCTGTGTTAACCTGATTGTCGAATGGATGATTTACATTCTTTCAATCAATGGCATAAATATCGGTAAGCAGAGACAGCATTTGCTTAGGGGTCCATGACCTCTTAGGGCCCACATCACTGACACCTGGGGGGGTCCACTATGCAATTGTAGACAAGGAAGTAGCTTTTCAGATGTAATGGTGTGAAAAATTCCTCTTAAATCCACCTGATACTGAAGTGGGGTTTGATAAGCATCTCCCTGAAATGAGTTTTTGGAACTTGGGATGTCTGTAGCATGTGGTGGTGCGCTGTCACCAGTGGTTTCATTCAAGATGTCCAGTCATTATTTCTCAGTGTGTGATGTGTGATCATATGCTACAGAGAATTGCATAATTGTATCTTCTTGGCCGATTTATGGAACTATCACCCTATCCTGAACCTTTATCACGTGTTGTACTTCATATGGGGCCCACCCACATAATGTTGCATACGGGCCTACTGTTATGTTGTTACGCCATTGCTTTCAATGCTGTGGCAATACCTGTTGTGCCTTTTCCTTTCTGACTTTTTCTTTTATTCAACTGTCTGTCGATATGCGTTGATATACAACCCACCATGAAGAACCAGCTTCATTCTGGTTTTTATCTTCCTTGTGCAGTATTTCAATAACTGTCTTCCAGATGTCTGCAATTTGGCAGTCTCCCCTAATGTTGTGTAGCCCTGCCAAAACTGAAAGGCTATTTAGTGGTTCAGGAAGTCTGCATATTTTTTAAGTTAATTATTAGATAAGGGACAATCACATTGACTTGCTAATGTTAAACTTTTGTGAATTAATCTAATTTTCTGAAGTCTGTGGTTTCAAAATCAGTGAGCCATAAATATCAAAATTACATTGAATAAATACTTATTGCAATATGATATTTCAGTTTCTCTTTCTGAAATGAGTGTCAGTCTTTAACTTTTTTATAATGTTTTTCTTTTTTAGATTGGTTATATCTGCTATAAAATAATGGAAAACATTATCATTATTTAATGTGCAACTCACCCTTCATAAAAACATGACCCCCAGAAAAATAAAAAATAAAACACTTCCAATGTGTTTCTAAACATCCTGAGGAGCAGGACTAACTTGGAAGAATTTTCCCTCCCCTGAACTCTACACATTAAGGGAGGCTTTGTGGAGCTTAGTGTTCTAGAGCCATATCAGTTTGAGCACCTTGCATCAAGGCTCTGATTCAGCAATGCCAAGAGCTGGTTGGCTACTACTGAGGCAGTAAAAAAACAGGAAGACTGACCATGGAGTTGTGCGTGTGTATGTTTGTATAAACACGTATCAAAAAATGGCTAGAGGAGGACAGAGAACTCAGGAAACTGTAGTCCAAAAAATATGGAATTTGACATACAAATAAAAATGTATCTACCTTGTTAATGAGATAGCAGATTTTTCACAAACTTATCTTATGTTTCTTTTTTTTCCCAGATTGTAACTCTGATGAAAAGAGGACGGGAGTGGCTGCTAATGTCCAAACTGTTACTCAAATGTCTTCCTTTAATACATTTTTGAGCAAAACAGATAAGCCTACCTCTACACAAAATACTACAACTTCTGCTATTAATTATTACGTAACTGGAAATGTCATCTTCAGCCATGCTCATTCTGGATCAGAGGCTGCCACGAAGTATATATTTGCTGAGGTCCAAGAAACAGATCCTACAATCAGTCCAGTTCTTGTCACAGGGGAAAAACAAGTAATTACTACAGCAAAATATACCACAAGTACATCTAATACTGCCGAAGGAAAGATCCACAGGGAACACAGGGAAAATGGAGAGAAACTGAGAAAACTAAGACCATCTATTTCACCAGAAACTACAGACTGGACTACAAGTGTAACTAAACCCCCTGATGGCTTGACTTTTACCAAAGCAGCGTTACCAGGCATTCTTTGGACTATAAAAAACACAAACAGCATGGAAGGCTCATTAGATTACTTTGGAAGTTTAATATCTGAAGATTTGGGGGTTACGACACTTGGTCCAAAATTCCACCATACTACAAGTCCTCCTGACCATTCTAGGACCGAGACAGCTGAAATACCACCAGAAATACAGAACCTTCCTTCTCCACCTACTGTTAACCAATATTCAGTTGATAACCCATATGAAGTCTCAACGTCAGGCTCTGGAGTCTTTTCAGATAATCAACTTGTGATCAGACCGAGTCTCAGTGGAAGAAGAAGACAACAAGGACGAAGAAAGAAGCCTTTTCTTGGCAGGAGGCTTCACAGGAAACCAGCATTTTCTAAAGTAATTTCTAATACATCTGTAGTTTTGAATGCAGACCTTTCAACTGAAAACAATGCAATTTCTGAAACAAAACAAACAATTTCATTTTCCAGTAAAATGTGTAACTTTCCAAGCCCTTGCCCTACAGCTGCATTGACACCAAGGACCACAAAACAACCATCTACAGCTGTTCAGACAAAACTCAACATCAGACCCCCAATACAGGGAAATTATAGTGACATTGCAAACAAGTCACTACTTAGAGCCGAAACAACTACTATATTTACAGCAGAGGACAATGATGATGTCAATTCACAAGACAAAAAAGACAGTGGGAAATCTATCCCAGACACTTATAATCCGTTCATGGACATCAAAGCTACCACTGCCAGACCAGCTATAATAAAACCCAAAACAGAATCAATGAAAAGCAAACCGAGTATAGTTGGGGGAAATGCAGCAAGCTTTACTGTTTTGACACACTCAGATGCTTTTCTCCCATGTGAGGCTGTTGGAAACCCACGTCCAGTGATAACATGGAAACACTTCTCATCCACAGGTACATGGCTAGTGCAGCTTTTTTTACTTTCCTCTCATAAAAAAAAAAAAAACAGCAAAAAAAAATATCCCCTTTAGCTTTTAGGAAAAATAAATATATTTTTCATGGCTTCGGAATACAGCATGTTTTACATTAAGCACATAAATATGTCAGCCCTATTGGTAGATTATCTATTTATTCAATATTTCTTCTAGATCAGTTAGTTTCTTTTATAATTATTTTAAAACTCCTGTAATTCAAAGAAATATTCTAAACTATTATTTGACTAGGGTAGATAAGCATTTATAACATACCATAGTTAAATACAATGCGTCAGGTTTTTTTTTTCATAGTAAGATTCTGTTTATTTTGCTAAATTGTCTTTTAAGAGAAGTTTTTTAAATTTCTTGAAATAAAACATTTTTTAAGGTTACTACCTATTTTGGTCTTTACTGTATCTAAAGACATCTATTGTCAAGTTAGTTTTAGGCAAATTTCTTAGAGTACTGCTAACCAAATCCGGTCTTCAAGAGATTATGTCCAGCATATTTTACCTTTATCTTTGCTCTCTCACAGCATATTGAAAAAGCCGTATTATCTCCTCAGCATGCAAGTAGTTTCTGTAGAGGCCATATAATGAAGAATTTGAGAACTTGAGTCAGTTGTGATAAATTTAACTAACATGCAGGATACCAGCCCTAAAAATGAAGGAATGATGCTGACACCATCCTCAGTGAAGAACAAGAGTAGATTTTGTGTTTTTTTATAGACCACAAATTTTAAAAAAGGGTTAATAGTAGATTTTGCAAAGTATGTTTTACTTGAAATAATTCTTATACATTTCTAATATTTGCTGCCCTCAATTTTTCTCTGTTTTTGTGTTTTAGGCAACACTATTTCTATCAAGGAAAATATGGGGAGGATAAAGGTGATGAGCAATGGAACACTGACCATCCAAAATGCTAACATTAAGGATCGTGGCCAGTACCTCTGTCTAGCTGTGAATGATCATGGATCAGACAAACTTCTTGTCACACTCTCTGTGGTAGCCTACCCGTCACGAATCCTTGAGCCAAAAATGAGAGAGATTAAATCTCATACGGGAGACAGAGTGGAGATAAAATGTAAAGCTGAAGGTAGACCTTTACCTATGATTTCATGGATTTTGGCAAACAGGACCCAAGTCAGGGGTCATGACACGGAGAAAGGAAGAGTATTGGTATCTTCTGAGGGGACTCTGATTATAGACCATGTGTCCATTTATGATAGGGGGTATTACAAATGTATTGCCAGTAATCCTGCTGGAGCCGATACGGCTACTGTACGACTGCAGGTGGTTGCAGCACCACCAGGTATTGTTGAGCAAAAACATCAGCAACTTCAAGCTTGGTTGAGCCAAGACGTGTGGCTACCTTGCACCAGCTATGGCACTCCACATCCCAGCATTCATTGGGTCCTTCATGATGGATCAATGGTCCGATCCAATAAACAAACAGGTGAAAAAAGGATATCAGTGTATGAGAATGGCACCCTTGTTATAAAAGATGTGAATGCAGAAGATAATGGCAAATATGAATGTATTGCAACCAGCTCCACGGGATCAGAGCGAAGAGTAGTAACTCTCTTGGTAGAAAAACAACAGTATCTACCAAAAATAGTGGAAACGTCCCAAAACTTGACAGAACTTTATTTTGGGGATCAGTTAAGGCTTAGCTGTTCAGCAACAGGAGACCCTAAACCAAGGATGTTCTGGAAGCTACCCTCTAAAACTATTATTAACCATTGGAGCAGGTAAAAAAACTCAACCTTCAATATATTATGTAAAGATATTGTTGGCAAAACTATCACATAAAGGTGCAAAACATACCAATATAATAATTAAACCAACACAATATAACATCAGCCCAATATTTGTATGTCTATATATTGGCTGCATTTCAGCTGCATAAGACAAATTATTAAAAGTTAGAGGCAGTGTTTGCATTGCAATTCTTATAGTTTAAATTAAAAAAAAAACACAGTTTTAAGATAGTACAGTAACAATTGCATACACTATATGTTTTCTGTGATGTGTATTTTAATATTTTTGTATTTTCTCAGAATGGGCAGCAGAATTCAGGTCTTGTATAATGGAACTCTCATTGTCAAACAAGTGAGTGAGAAAGATGCTGGAGATTATCAATGTCTGGCACAAAGTCCAATTGGAGAGGATGTTCGGCTCATGAGAGTAACAGTATCAATGAAACCAGCCAAAATAGAGCCCAAGTTTGACAGAAAAAAGCATGTTCGTTATGGTAATGACTTGAAAGTAGACTGTAAAGCCTATGGAGCACCAAAGCCAGAAGTCTATTGGGGCTTACCAGATGGTACAGTGATGAACAGTGGTTTGCAAGCTGATGCTGGCAATGGAGGAGGGCGAGCACGTCACTACACACTGTTTGAAAATGGAACTCTGTTTTTGAACCAGGTATGCACTTTTATTAACAATAAGTGAAGAAAACATAATACTCAGAAAAAAAAGCTAACATACATTTTCTTTTTTTTCCCCCAGGTTAGCACTTCTGAAGAGGGGGACTACATATGCTATGCTGAAAACCAAGTAGGAAAGGATGAGATGCATGTTCACATTACCGTGGTAACAACTGCCCCAAGAATACGCTCACCAAGCCAAACCTATGCTAGGGTGAAGCCTGGAGAAAATATTCGCTTTGACTGTGAAGCATTTGGGGAGCCAAAACCAAAGATTCTTTGGAGGCTACCTAACAATGATGTAATAGCAGCATCAAACAAACGCTACCTAATCCATGCCAACGGTTCACTGGATATACGAGATGTAAAGCTTAGTGATACAGGGGAGTATGTCTGCATGGCTCGCAACCCTGGTGGAGAAAACCAAAAGGAATATAAATTAGACATAGATGGGAATCCACCAGTTATTAATGGCTACCAACAGAACAGGACAGTTGTCAAAGACATGGCCGTGAAACATTCCAGGAAGCTTTTAGACTGCAAGGCTGAAGGTAACCCCACACCAACTATAACTTGGATTATGCCTGATAATATTTTTCTTTCAGCCCCATACTTTGGAAGCAGGATTAATGTACATCTTAATGGGACGTTAGAGATTCGGAATGTGCGTCCCTCTGATACTGCGGAATTCATTTGTTTGGCAAAAAATGATCAGGGAGATGCGGTTATGATAGTCCAACTGGAAGTTACCAGTGTGCTTCAAAGGCCAATCTTCAATAACCCCTTTAATGAACGTCTTGTGTCACAGCCTGGAAAAACTACCATTCTGAATTGTTCAGCTCATGGACAACCAACGCCTGAGATCATTTGGACTTTGCCTAATGGAACACGGCTTACTAGTAGATCCAAACACATTACTCGTCACCAACCAAGTGATGATGGAACTTTAATAATTTATCGCTCTCGTGAAGAAGATTCTGGAAAGTACCGCTGTGGGGCCAGGAACTTCCTTGGTTATATAGAGAAACTATTCATTTTGAATATTGGGCAGAAGCCTTACATCTTCACAAGGCCTAAAGGCATCTTGCACACTATTTCTGGGGAACCTCTGTATCTTCATTGTTTGTCTGATGGAAATCCCCGACCCAGAATCTACTGGACTATTCCTGGTGGTCACACTCTTACTCAGCCTCAGATACTCGGCCGCTACAATTTACTAGAGAATGGTACCCTGGTTGTTCATGGCACAACTGTAAATGACAAAGGAAACTATATCTGTAGGGCTCGTAACAGTGCTGGCGAGGCACTGATTACTGTCCCTGTTATTGTCGTTGCTTACCCTCCACGTATAACTACAGGGCCACCTCCCCAACTGAGGGCATTAAAAGGAACACCACTAAAGCTAAACTGTGCTGCAACTGGAATTCCAAAGCCAGAGATAACTTGGGAACTTCCAGACCATTCAGTACTTTCAGCAGCAGAGCTTTTGGGTAGTAAGCTGCTTCACCCTCAGGGAACAATTGTCATCCAGAGACCAACTTCTTCTGACTCAGGCCAATACAAATGCTCAGCCAAAAATTACCTAGGTACAGACTCAAAAACAACATATGTTATTGTACTCTGAGTGGAGTGGAGACAGACTGTTTTGTGTGCTATATCTTGTGCTATATCATGCTGTATATCATGGGTGAATCCTTTGCATCTTTAGACTTAGGAAATAATTATAGAGCTCAGTTACAGCAATAGAATACTGCTTTTTTAAGCGCTTAGTGTACCACAATAGAGAGTAAACCCTTCACATGAGGTCCTGTCCTGATTTATATGTACAAGTGCAGACTGCTTTTTCATAGGAGCATTGGATTTTTGTTTTTTTTAAATAAATTTAAACCTTTGTTAATGTTTGCTGGTATGTACACAAAATACTCGAGACAATAACAGAAAAAGACATTGTGTCCTACAAAAATTACATCTTTCAAAGTGTTTCAGCAAAAATAAATTGAATTGTTAACTTGGCTAATCTGTTATTTGTTTTGTATGGCTTCCATAATCAACCTCTAAAGTATAATATAGAATGTTGTGTTACAGTAACAATATGAAGGGGGGGGGGGCTGAAAAAACTTCAGTCAGTCTTCACTGATTAAAATAAACCAATAGTTGTTCTTTATCTTTAATTACATAGAAGACTCATGGATAACTGCAGAGACAAACTCTCTACCATAAAACAAAAAAAATATATTGTTTAAAGAGCACAATTTCTGTATTAGTCATCTTTAATTGTACTATATTGTTGTGAATAATTACTTGCTGTATTTATGTTGTAAGGTTTTGGTTAATAGTATGACTTTTAGAATATCAAAGTATAAAAATTTTAAATATTCTAGTGATAATATCACTGCTTCAACCCTCTGGTTTAGAGGAAAACTGCTTTTCCAGTGGTGGTGACTTACGTGCACATCCCAATGGGAAAAACAATTGATCTGGGTGGAGTTACCTCATCCCCCCTTCTAGCTTTGCCCCGGCTGCGACTACACGTCTTTAGTTTAGTAATGTAAACAAATTTCAGCTAAGAATTATATAAATATTCTACTTATCTTTAATGTAAAATGTTACCTTTTGCAAAAAGAGCACAATTCCCAGAATAGAACTAAGTTCTGTCCTTGTTGAATGCTTGAGTCTTACTTTGCACCCATCCAACTCCAATTTGGCCCTTTTCATTCAAAACAAGTTTTATTTATTTATTTATTTTTTACCATTAATGGAGTCTGTGATTAGGTTTTATGGACACTTGTGTCTACACCGTTATGATTATGGTCTCTCTGTGACGTAGACTCAACAAAGTAGCCAGTTGAACGAAAGTAGGCAACGTGTCACACCCACTGATAGGTCCAGAGAATTTGGCCCAATTCACTCTCTGGAGGACTGACTGATGCTCCATAAAGGCAACTGCGGTAAATAGAGGAAAGCTCATTTTGCAGTGAAAGTGCATGTATGGGAAACAACAAGTACATTTACCTTTCAAACTTTATCTTTTGAAAATGTAAGAAAAAGGCAGTAATGTTTTGCACCAATACCCTGTATGAGGTATTGCCTGTTCTTAAATAATTTACCACGTATATACGGGCTTTACAGCAAAGTGTACTTATTTTATACCTACAAAGACTATCACACCTAATATATTTTTTGATGAGTTAAACAGTGCATTTTATGTTTTCTTTTTGCTATCCCTTAAAGTTGTCAATGATATAATCTTAGTTTTTTCACCTAAATATCATCATCCTCACTTCAGTTTTTAAACAGATGTTTAACACTATGCAGAACCTAATTTGCAATGGTGCCTTATGCTAAACAGTTGTATTGCTAGGAACATTTCAGTTCAGCAGTAGTCTATTAAATCTGTATTTTCCAATACATAACCTTTTTTGAGGGATTGGGAACCATGTCCTTTCCAAAGTTTTGAGTTGTTCCACAGAAGTGTGTAATGAGCTAAACAAATACAATGAAGGAGATAATTGCTCTCCCTAAACTTTGGAAGCTATGGGCTTCAGCATTGACAGGAAAAATGCTGTAATTCTTTGGCCATCCAAAACTTAATCAAAAATAAAAGAAGTGATTACATCGTCTTTGTCAGGTTTCACATCGGTGAAGATGGGTTAGTATTACCAAAATGAGTGCTCCATGTATTGTGTTTATTGTGTTTTTTATTTTATTTTATTTTCTTCAGATATGTTATCTCAGTTTTTATAACGGGATCTCCTTTATCTTAACATGATTTCAGTTATTACAAGAATGCTTAAAAAGTACTACAATATGATAACAAAGTCACAGATATTGGATGGAATTTAAAATAAGCCTATTAACTGTTTAATCTTACTAACTCTTACCTTATCATCTCGACACAAGGCGGTAGGCTAAAAGGCTACTTCTTCTTGGTGTACTAGAGAAAAGCATGAAGTATACGGTATGGTTTTTAATATCAAAGCAGACCCTAGGGACTGTTTAACAATACTGTAGTGTCTTCAAAGAAGTATCTATGTAAAGCTAATTTTCCATGTATACGTGTGAATAATTTAAAGCAGCAGTTGAGCACCAATAGGGAGTCCAAATCCACTCCTAGTGATGGTTCTCAGAGAACACAAACAGATGATCAAAACATAGGTGCAGAGAAAATGTGGTGAACCATTTCCCTTGTTTTCCATATGTCCTCCATTGATTGTTGAAAAACAAAAATGAAAATAGTTATGCTCTATGTTTTTCCTCAATATTTCAGTGATCTATCTCTTATGACAGTTGTCCTTTTCATAGATTCTCGCGCTGGAGAAGACGATCCTTTTTTCTCCTCCAAAGTTGTGATAGCCTATTTCACTGCTACTGTGATTAATGTTGCTTTGTCTGACCTGGCATCAGCAGGTTTTGCACTTTTTCCACACTCTTAGTGTTTGTAGATTTTAAAATAATCAGTCATCCGTGTGATGTCCATGTTCAGTTTAAGGTAAACGTCTGACCAATCTGTCATGTCATTACGATTTGATATACACCATTTTTATGTAGGTCTTTTTTATATGTCTTGGCTCACTGGAAGGTGAAACCCCCTCTCTGTCTTAGATCTTAGAATATCACTTATTTTCTTTTAGGATTGTCCGTAACGTAGTTCTAGATCCATCTTTAGATACATTATCCAATGAAATGTTATCAGCTTCCCTTCCCTCTGCTAAAGTTAAACCCATTCATGCTTTTTTGTTGGTTTTAATAGCATTTAAAGGGCTTGTTTTCTGTGACACATTAGTATTTGAGATGCTAGCCACAAAGTTCAAAGTCCTTCCTATTTTTAATAAGAGATTGAACAAGACTGTAAGGTTTTTAAATATTAGTGTATTGTAATGTAACATAAGCTCACTTTTCTCCACAATTTTATTCTTAGTCTGTCTGTTGTGTTCCTTGGTCTTTGTGGTCTTATCTATTCACAACCCTGAAAAACTTTCTGATTTCAGACAACAGATAATTTATGCAAAAAATATGTTACACACATAGAGACTCTAATCATTAATCAGGTGACTTTTGGTGACAAGGTGAAAATGAGGTGTCTTAATGCATGCTGTTTAATCTTAGCTTATGTATCTAGGTAGAAGCAGCTTATCACTTAATAATTATCATCAATCATAATGTGTCTTCTGATGCGTTTGCTAATTAGCTTTTGCCTCTTGCTATTTAGAGATGAGAAACTATATCTCCACCTGATGTTCTGCATTATTTGTTCTTCTTTGCCACACCTTTCTTCACACAAAGAGCCACTTGTTCTTTCATCTATATNGCGAGACCCGCTCCTATGTAATTATAAATAACGAATTCTAAGGCAACGCAAATATTAAGGTTAAGAGGCTGAGCTCATAGGTGATGATAAATAACATAGTTATGTATAATATATTAAATTTCTGACTTTATATCCCTGTAATTATTACACACTGTAGCTTTAAATAATTTACCATGTATATACGGGCTTTACAGCAAAGTGTACTTATTTTATACCTACAAAGACAGTCACACCTAACATATTTTTTGATGAGTTAAACAGTGCATTTTATGTTTTCTTTTTGCTATCCCTTAAAGTTGTCAATGATATAATCTTAGTTTTTTCACCTAAATATCATCATCCTCACTTCAGTTTTTAAACAGATGTTTAACACTATGCAGAACCTAATTTGCAATGGTGCCTTATGCTAAACAGTTGTATTGCTAGGAACATTTCAGTTCAGCAGTAGTCTATTAAATCTGTATTTTCCAATACATAACCTTTTTTTGAGGGATTGGCAACCATGTCCTTTCCAAAGTTTTGAGTTGTTCCACAGAAGTGTGTAATGAGCTAAACAAATACAATGAAGGAGATAATTGCTCTCCCTAAACTTTGGAAGCTATGGGCTTCAGCATTGACAGGAAAAATGCTGTAATTCTTTGGCCATCCAAAACTTAATCAAAAATAAAAGAAGTGATTACATCGTCTTTGTCAGGTTTCACATCGGTGAAGATGGGTTAGTATTACCAAAATGAGTGCTCCATGTATTGTGTTTATTGTGTTTTTTATTTTATTTTATTTTCTTCAGATATGTTATCTCAGTTTTTATAACGGGATCTCCTTTATCTTAACATGATTTCAGTTATTACAAGAATGCTTAAAAAGTACTACAATATGATAACAAAGTCACAGATATTGGATGGAATTTAAAATAAGCCTATTAACTGTTTAATCTTACTAACTCTTACCTTATCATCTCGACACAAGGCGGTAGGCTAAAAGGCTACTTCTTCTTGGTGTACTAGAGAAAAGCATGAAGTATACGGTATGGTTTTTAATATCAAAGCAGACCCTAGGGACTGTTTAACAATACTGTAGTGTCTTCAAAGAAGTATCTATGTAAAGCTAATTTTCCATGTATACGTGTGAATAATTTAAAGCAGCAGTTGAGCACCAATAGGGAGTCCAAATCCACTCCTAGTGATGGTTCTCAGAGAACACAAACAGATGATCAAAACATAGGTGCAGAGAAAATGTGGTGAACCATTTCCCTTGTTTTCCATATGTCCTCCATTGATTGTTGAAAAACAAAAATGAAAATAGTTATGCTCTATGTTTTTCCTCAATATTTCAGCGATCTATCTCTTATGACAGTTGTCCTTTTCATAGATTCTCGCGCTGGAGAAGACGATCCTTTTTTCTCCTCCAAAGTTGTGATAGCCTATTTCACTGCTACTGTGATTAATGTTGCTTTGTCTGACCTGGCATCAGCAGGTTTTGCACTTTTTCCACACTCTTAGTGTTTGTAGATTTTAAAATAATCAGTCATCCGTGTGATGTCCATGTTCAGTTTAAGGTAAACGTCTGACCAATCTGTCATGTCATTACGATTTGATATACACCATTTTTATGTAGGTCTTTTTTATATGTCTTGGCTCACTGGAAGGTGAAACCCCCTCTCTGTCTTAGATCTTAGAATATCACTTATTTTCTTTTAGGATTGTCCGTAACGTAGTTCTAGATCCATCTTTAGATACATTATCCAATGAAATGTTATCAGCTTCCCTTCCCTCTGCTGAAGTTAAACCCATTCATGCTTTTTTGTTGGTTTTAATAGCATTTAAAGGGCTTGTTTTCTGTGACACATTAGTATTTGAGATGCTAGCCACAAAGTTCAAAGTCCTTCCTATTTTTAATAAGAGATTGAACAAGACTGTAAGGTTTTTAAATATTAGTGTATTGTAATGTAACATAAGCTCACT